ATCCTAATTATATTTTAGTATGATTACGCCGTTTACTTTTAATTCTTTTACAATATACGTCTCTTTAATCTTTAACTAACATTTTTGTAATATATTGAATGTCTCTATGTATATATTTAAAGCGGTAGGCTAAGTCAGTCGGAGTAGCAAATGATTTGCTACTCGCTCGGAGTAGCAAGATTTGCTACTCCGAGTTTCATGCTTCTTGCGAAGCAATCATCAGGCAACTGGCAAAAGTTACGTTTACATTTAAAGATATACAAATTTAAAAATAAGAAACAATGCTTACAGCGTGACATGATTGGACGACGGGTGTAATGAAAGGTCGTGTTCATTCAATTAAACAAACACGGTATTTAACAGGAATTTCTTAGAATGTCTGTAGGTCGATGTAAGTTCTTTTCTATGATTGAGTGTTGACATTTTCGGTTTACGTAATAAAATATTTTTTCCACTTACACAGATTACCTTTTTTGTTGACATTAGAATACGATCAGGTTTGCCTTATTTTACACCAATTAATTTCATAGCTAATTTCCATGTCTGTTGGGCTCCATAGTGCTTGCTGAGCTCAGTTTCATTTTTTACCGTTCATTCCTGAAGGAGCATGTGTGGTTTCTGTATGTCTGTATGTATACATATATTTTTTTCTGGAAAATAAACAAACTGAAAGTAAAACTGAAACTTAATTGAGACATTTTTTGATTGAATGAAATCTTGTCTAGATATTTAAGAAAAAGGGCGTGAAGATATGGACGAAAAACAATGCTTTCAACCATACCAGACGGCTCCCTTAAGGAGACCCTCGAAACAAAATGAAGGCAAATTTACACGTAGAAGGAAAATAGTACTAAAACGCAATGGTCTCGATCATGCAGGTGTATTTGGCTCATCTTGCTTAGGACGCACGGCGTAAGATGCGAAATTACTTTTACACCAAAACGAGGCTCTACCTCAGTCGAAGAACGTACACTAAAAAACCTCCCAAGCGGGAGGAAACCAAGCCTCCGGTTTGTATATACTGATGACCTGTACTTTTAACAATTTTAGACTTCTGTCGGCCCCCGTGCGGGCGGACCGGTGAGGGTGGGAGCTCTGCAACGACTCTGCTCCAGTGGCCTATATGTGAGTAGGGGTAGCAGGGTCTCAGGGGGCCATTTTTGCCTGTTTAAATTTTTTAGTTTTGTACCTTGTTACAACAACTGTTCGAAAATCGCTTTTAAATTTGCACAGATATAAAACTATCTAGTTTGGAATGTTATTTTTGAGGTAACTGCCCTAAAGAGAAACACGAGGAGGGGGGATTAAAGGAGCTATATCACGAAGATACTGCAGCTGTTTTTATGGGTCAATTCTGTTCTTAAATCATTTCTTTGTGCCCTGAACCATGACACAAAATGCTCCAGTGGAGTTATGAAGAAGATACCACAAAAATTTCATCAAGGAGCACAAGCCATAATATTTTTTACGTGATTTTTTGCAGGCAGAGCATTAAAACTGGACGTTGTTCCAGCTTTCTAAAGTTTCAATTCATTTCCATCCTTGCAATCCATAGTCTGCTACACAGCATCTTTTAGTGTCGTCACGCAACGCTTCTCCCCACGAACGGCTGCTGGGAATTGAACCACCTTCCTTTCCTGCTGTTAACCAATTAGAATTCAGCTCCCATTTACTGGAAGGTGTTCGCACCAAGGTGACTCCTCCAATCACAGCTTTGCTTTTATCGGTGCTCCATGTGTGAATGACAGAACAACGAAAAACGTCGCGTGAAAACAAGCCATTAACTGGAGTAGTGTTGTCGTAGTCCTATGCAAAATTTAAGAGATAAGCAGCAGCAGCAAGCAAGTCGAGCAAATGTTATGCACAACATGGATGTGCTTATAAAGTAAGTTTCCGTGTATAGTTTTGGGAAATCGCTCATTGAGAAATTATAAGATTGGTTTAAATTGAATCAGTACCCTTGGGAGTTTACAAATTGAGTTTTAATAGTCCTCACATGTACAGCAGCCCGGGAGCAACACAACGAGCACATCCGGCACATGAAATTCATCAAACATACGCCTTCAGACATATGCATGTTGAAGAACCAACCGATCCTGGCAAGAGTCTTGTAGGCCGATCAAACCTTTTCTGTTTAACTTGGAAAGCTTGTAGACACAAAGCCCGGTAGTCCAATTATTCAGCGACGATTGATTGATTTGTCAAAACTTGAGAAGTGCGTTCGCATCCTAGCGCCCTGCGGCTCACGTATTGTCAACTTTCTTGAGGTCGGTACACACTAGGCGACAAGTTGCAGCGACATGTCGCGGCGACACGTTGCATCAACAAATCGCTTCGTGTGTACTGGGGAATTTTTGTGAAAATCTTTGTCGCTGCAACAGAATTTGTCGCCGCAACAGAATTTGTCGCCGCAACAAGTCGCACAGATTCAGTCTGATTTGATTTCTTGCGACTTGTTGCAGCGACAAAATTCTGTTGTGGAGACAAGGATTTTCACAAAAATTCTCCAGTACACACGAAGCGATTTGTCGCTGCGACGTGTCGCCTCACCTTGTTGCTGCAACTAGTCGCCCGACCTGTACACACGGAGTGATCTGTCGCCGCGACGTGTTGCAGCAACTTGTCGCCTAGTGTGTACCGACCTTATTCTCGGCTTACACTGTCACGCAATGAAAAATAAAAATGCAAACCATTCAATACAGAAGGACTAGAATCTGGGAAGTGAAAAAAGATAAATATACAAAAACCCTTGTCAAGAATCAGGTCTGTGAAATATTTCAATTGCGAGATATTGGGGAAAACGGTTTACCTAAATTTATAAGGCTTTGTATGGAAACGCCATGTTGGTGTCCCTTTCAGGAACACCAGTATGGCCGCCGGATACCAACAGAAACATCTGTTTTCGAGTTTTCCTACTAATGCGTGAATTCTTCGCTTGCGGAACTCATAAAGATTACAGTAGTATTTATTTTGAGACAAGGAATGTTTAGATTGCAAAATCTCCCAAAATCGGTAATGTTTTTAACCCACATAAGAGCTTTCCCGGCCGCCAGCAAAATGCCGCGTCACGCAAAAGCCTGGAAATTAAAGTGTCCTCTCTCGCAAAACGAAGAACCCTTTCGAAACAAAACAACTTGTTTATGTAAAGATGTTTAGGTGCTGTAATACCTCGTGAAAGTAGAAACTCAGAAGAATCGATAGTTTCTTAGTTTGATTTTTGGTGACGTCACGTGCAACCCAAGAATACATGATTGGTTTCTTCGTTAAACCACAAACACAAAGGGAAAGGAATGTGGTTCGGTTCTCAGCAGCTGTTTGTGGGGAGGAGCGTTGCGTGAGGACTCTAATAACGGCTTTGTAGCAGACTATGCAACCCAATTGCAACAGACGACTGTAAACAGATTCAGTACCTAAATATAGTCTTAAACAATTACAAAACTGGATCATTATTTTTGGAATTCAATTGATGCGAAAACCCATTTAAGCTTTCTAAAAGGATAGCAAATAGCTTGACATATTAGCTCCGTTAAGTTAGCTCCCACGCTTCTCGAGTCCCTGGTCACAGGAAAGCGTGCGAACTGAATCAACTGTCTGTTGTATAAGGTTTTGCTAAACTTACACATTTTTCCTGTGCTGAACAAAAGCTGTACCGAGCCGTATCTTGGGCCGCTACATAGAAGCTATATACATGTATATTTATACTGGTAAAAATCATCGTTCAATTTTTTGAGTGTAAAATCCCTGAAAGAGTTCTCCTCACTGGAGCAATATCAATATGCAAAGGATTTTCAAAGGCTTCAGGACACTGGTGTAAAGCTAAGATGCGCAGGTGGCCTGTCTCTCCTTACATATTTTTACGTTTTGAGTATTTACATTATGACATATAACACTCGTTTTGTATTCCCAACGAAAAAGTAGCATAACCAACTGACAACAAAACTTTTCTCCAAGCTAGCGAGACTCAACGCTACTAAGAGCGTTCTTGCTCGTTATATCGAGGACTTCGTTAACGGGTGGTTTGTCATATCAAGGTTCCAGTGTACAAGCAACTTGGTTTGTTCAATCACCAAGCGTTTTTTAACGAAAAAAATTAAAGTGAAGCAGGCTCATTCCCCGGCTTTTCTGTTGAAACATAAAGGGAGATTCCAAACTGAAGACCGGTGTATCCCTCTTGTTTTTCGCTATGCTAGAAATTTCTGAACTGTGAATAATTCAAGAATATCAAATTTCGCAGTTATGTGATGACTAAGTGAAAATTACAGTTAATCTAGCAAGCACATCAACCTATTCAAGACTCAACATCAGAACTCAACGCAAACCATATTTTTCCCCGTTGTTCTAGCGACTTGAAATCCCCACTAAGTATAATATACTTGACATCATTGTCTCTAGCATGCCGCTGTGTCATCTCTATCGAATCATCGGTATTCAGTAATGGTTCTGTCCTTATCAGACGGACGTTAAGAGCAGCAATGTAGTTTCTAATCAAGTTTTATGTTTAATTAAAGAAACAATTCGAAGGAAATGTATACCCATATAAAAACGACCGATCTTTTGAACAGGCTCGGTTATGCCTTGAGAGTGCTTCTACTGAGAATAATGGAGACCTCTAGCTGATCAGACTCAATGAAGCCGTTGATTAAAAATAATTTTAGAAATAATCAACTCTGTGGCTTGTTTAGTACAGATAATTTTCTGAAAATTTTCCTTCCTATCCACTCGTAGGAAATTCATATTTCGAATCTTTCATTGATTTCAGACTTGTGATAAATTCGCTACTTTGCCATGCAATGCCCTTAAAATTTCTTTTCAGTTAAAAGGCAGCTGCCATTTCAAGTCAAGGTCTTTAAAAACAACGTTAAATATTGATACCCTGGTAGCCAATCAAATGGCTTTTAAATATATGACGTGTTAGGGGGGTGTATAAGAAATTTAATACTGTCACAAGATAAACGCAAGAAAAAGGAACTTTTATAATGAAACTCACTTTGCCCACCTATCAGACACACTGAACAACACTGAGTTGAATGAAATATAATGGAAACATGAACATGAACGATTGAAGCGCAATGCATTTTCCATCACAGTCATCATTCGTGTTTCTTTTCTTCATCACTGTAAGTTTGTCACAGGAGTTTCTCTCGAGTGAATTGGACATGTTTAAAACCTAATCGTCTTTGCTAGATATTGAGGCTGCTAACTTAATGTTTAACGTTTTCGTTGCAGCTAACAGAATTTTCTTTTGCCTGTGAAAACTGGTCCGATCATGCTACAGGTAAGCTAAGGTATTTTCCATAAAAAGGATAATTATGTAGTGGGAATTTGTCAATGTTTCCCTGAAAAACTGAAGAACTCTCACTGGTGACTTTTTCAAACTTCTAACTTCCTCTCACCCACGGTGATGTTTTTATAACAGGCACGCATTTATCTCCTTGCTCGTTTTTAAAATTTAAAGCGCCGCTTCAAATGGCGATCGCACATTATTTTTAGAATGGCTTGTTAACTTTAAGAGGGTTTAAGTTTGGGGTAGTATTCAACGATTAACCGGAACATTTTAATAATTTCTATTCGGCCATAACTGGTTAACAAATAAAAATTAAGAGTTCACGTTAAGAATAAACCAAACATAAGTAAGGGAAATTGTGTACTTGCATATATAATATTATCATCAAAATAAACTGCTCGATAGCTCTTTGATGTAAACATTGAACAATGTTTTTGAAAATTTGGTCAGTTTACGAAGTGTGGAGAATACTGAAGAATATCGATCGGGTATCGATAATTAAAAACCTTGGACTAACGAACACCTATAATTATTTTCACGTTTTATTTCAAGGTGATATTCCTTCCATATTCCTCGGCAAGATTAAATTTGAAAACAAATAAAAAAAAAATGATATCATGACAGATTTCCCTCTTAAAGTTACAGTTTGGCATTTCCATAAAGTGTTTGACTTTACTGCCGTTATTTGCTAGATAAGGAGTATTTTGTAATTGCAGCTATCGGTGTTTTTACCCGATCTAAGGGTATTCGTTCGTCGGCCCAATGTGCAAGATTTTACTTTTGCTTAAATTCATGATTCGCTACTCAACTGGTATTCATGGTAATCAGTGGGTCATTCCCGACTCCATTCGCACCTCATAGCCGTTAAGACAGGACCGCGGATTTCGAATTATATCTTAATCATGTCGAATTAATTACACTTAAAGGAAGAAAAGATGGAGCGCACAGGGAGCAAATTGTCCAAATTCAGCGAATTTTGCCACTGGATTCTTAGCACGCGTTCTCTCGAGGTAAAGATTGTTCAAAAAATTACCTAAACGTAGTTTTAAAGCGAGAAGTTCTTAATAGTTTTCCGCATGCATTTGTAAAACCGTAATTTACATTTCATTTCAGAGAAAAAACATGTTAGGTGTTCCAATTGCGAGCTGCCATAACTATCTTGACAGCAATTCATTACACCAGGGAAACGAATAGTAAAAAAAAAAGGTCACTTACGTGTACTTGGCATATCTTAGCCCCTACTCGAAAACTTAACATATTTACCGTGTCTAGATATATTAATGCATCAGTGGGTGTAAGCGCAGGATAAGACCCTTATCGAACGATATATCTTGAAAATTCGCTGAGATACGTTTACATAGAACGGCTCGAGAGACGCTTCTACATTTTTCAGCTAGAAAGGAGAAAAGTTTTGAGTCTTTGCCTTCACAGTAAACCCTAACAGCAACTCTACATCGGAATTAAAACAAAAAGCTCTACTCGCACCCATGGAGGGAATTTGTGCCAGTATTCACGTTGCATAAAATAAACTCTATCCCTAATGAAATTAGTATGTTCAGTAACCAGGTCTGTTATACCACCTGGCTAGTATTTGAATTAGAAGCTATGTTATGCATATGATACTAAAGCTGCATACAAATTCATCGGAAATGATACTGCCACTGCAAAATGTAAACATAACCTGATCTAAAGTAAACGAAATAAATGGAAAAATGTGCCTTTACGTGCCTGAAGGAAACCTTTTAAATAGAAGCATACCGTATAATATCAATTTTCAACATGTGGTCACATTCATAGGTAACTAAAGATGACTTGGTTGGGAAATTGATGGTTGAAAACTTGCCAGCTTATATTCATTCTTTCATCTACCGCGTGATTTTTTTAAATTCTCTCTATAAGTTTGTATTGGGGATGTTTGTCTTAGAATTGTCCTTAGTTACCAAATCACCCGCATATCGGTCAATCTTAATATTAACATCTTAACTTGTCAAATTTGCGTTTGTATATGACACCCCTCTGTTAATTGTATAAGCAGGAAGCTCCAAGACTCGAAATATGAGTCATTTCATATATTTCCATTCAATCTCCAATGTGTCCTATAAAACAAGGACAAAAAGATTCTAGGGTTTTTCAAAATAACATATCCGGATAACGTTTCTCTTTTACCTTGTTTCTTGATTTGCTGCTTCAGTGTAATAACTACGAGAAGATTTAAGTCGACAAAAAAAATTTTCTTGGTTCATTAGGTTCATTGTTTTAGGCCCTCTGGTTTATGAAGACTCTTCTTTTTCAGTTTAATTTGAAATCAATTAGTTATTTAGGCGAGCCGTAAATCGAAATTCTCCTCACTCCTCGTTTTTCTTAAGAAAAGCGATTTTAGGTAATTTTTGAAGAATCATAAAAACTAGGTGAAAATTATAAATGAAAAAACGCTGTATAAGTGCGTAAATGAAAAGGACTCTGTCCTATTGTTTGCTGATAAATTGCGTCAAAACCTCCTGTTTACACGTCCCACTTAACAACGACTGATGCACCTGTTGGGGAATAGCTAATTAACGCTGAAAAATTTGCATTACCATGCATTGGGATACGGAACTTTAGAAGAATAAAGTCTACTTTTTACCTCTCCTTTCTGGACTGGGTTTCGCCAATTAGCATAGAAATGGCTAAAAATGAGATTTTCGACATTTTTTTGAATAGTTTTTCTTGCTTATTGGATGTAAGGGACATTTTATCTGGATATTTAGAGAAGTAGGTGAATAGCAAAACTGGCAGTGGGCTTTCAACCAAAATGTTCGTATGGGTTTTGTGTAACTCTGGCAGTATTGGTCAGAATTTGCAAAATGAGTTATCTGTGCAAAGACCTGTTCTCCCTGAATTCGTTATTTATACTGTCTTACTTGATTGCTTATTAACTGAAAACTAAGTCGGTTCAGAAATAGATAATCAGCATTGCTCCATATCGACCAGAAATGAATCGATCTGTAGCCAAGAGGTTAATAAATTCCTAACAGAATGTTTAACTGACACCAAGGAGTCGAAACGAACGCACTGCAGTGAAATCTTTAGCGTTTTTATCTATTAGACATGTGTGTGTGTGAAAAGTGGAGACAAACTGCGGAACAATAGCGAGCGAGTGCGAGTGCAATGAGTTGAACTATTTCGGCCTGTGCTCTTAACTTATTTGTATCGTCTTAACGGTTAATAGACCCGTTTACATGTATATATATATATATATTTTATCTAAAATGTTATTAGAGCAGTGAAATACTATGGATACCATTGTAAATTATCTTCTATCGACGCTTTTTGGAAAATTGCTCTGAAAATGATTAAAATGTACAGTAAATGAGCTGAAAGTTGACTTTCACACCGGGTTGAGAAATTAAAAAATAAACCTTGTTATAGAGAAATTTTGAGGTAATGTCTTCCTTAAAAGCTTCAAGTGTTAGTTGCACAGAGAATGGTAAAGAGATGTTGGGAAAACGTGCTGCATGTTTAGAGTATTGGGCGATTTCCAGCACCAACGACAAAAAAAGTCCAATTTAGTAATTCAAAAATTCTAAGTAGTGAATAAAACGTTTTTTAAAATTGCTTTTTCCAACCTTTTTAGAGAAAAAAGGAGAAACACGCTGAGTACACATAAACGTGTCCAATACATTTTCTGGAAACTTTTCGTTTTTTTGTATTCCACTTCCTTAGTAGAATGATTTTCACATTTTCCCAAAAGTAGATAGCTTATGAAATTTTTGCTTGGAAACTTCTTTCTCTAAGTTTCTTTTATTACCGAAATGGAGAGCGCCCGTCATTTTGCTTTACCGCTCAAGAATTCAATGCTTTCTGCTTTTTCTTTAAATGGCTGAAAGGGATAAACTTAGGATTGTGTTTGTTAAGTGTTAGGCTAAAGAGTCACAAAAAAGAAACTTCTTCCAACCAATTGCAAATGGTCATGGGGCTTAGTATTGACGTACGTTGTTGCTTGATGTATAGAGAGATACATATGTCCGCGCATGGTAGTTCACCAGATGTAAACATTCACTCGAAGCAACGACATTCTTCGCCGGATAATTTTTGGACCTCATTTTCACCCCTTATCTTAACTGGTCTTGAAGTTTATTCATAAAATGAAATGAAATGTCTGAAATGTCTGTAACAAGTCGTGCTTTCATCGTTTTCAGCTGTATCTATTGATAACTAATAATTATTTTTCAATTGTTTACTACTTCTAACTAAAACCACAGTAGGATTAGCTCAGATAGGTAGAGCGCGCGCTTGACTGCAGAGAGCAGGGCGGATAAAGGTTGGGCGGTGAAACGAGCACGTCCGAGCAAAAAGGTGTGATGCAGTGGACTGGGACTCTGCTTAGAAATGTCGCTTGTTTTCGACTTCGGTCAGGGCTTGCGATATGATGTGGTTTGTACATTAGACACTGCCGCTGTTACTGAATTATGGCGGCTTGAATTGTTTTCTTGCACTTCTTCCTCGTTCCTTTGTGCTGGTACGATGTCTCCGAGAGGCAAATGTTGCTATTTTTTGCGGGAGGTTTAGTTGGAGTAGACAAACATCTCTTTCAAAGGGCTTCTCTGATTACTTCCATGACTCTACCACTGAATTATATTTTCGTTCTACTACTCGCCAATGTCGATGTTATTCCAAAACAAAAACAACTAAGTACTGTCAAAAACACGAAGGAAAATGTCATCCATGGCAAAACTAAAAGGCAGTAGATCGTGTGTTTCATAACTAGATGACGTGTATTTTATAAATGCGTGCAGCTCGTGCAAGGTGCAATTATGCTAATTTCAATCACCATCATCCTTCTTTTTAATTTTGAAAAAAAAACCATCTCATACGTCTTTATGTTTCTTCGAAACTTCAAAATTAGTTTCCCTTCAGTTTTTTCTGTTTATCTTGTTTTGTTTTAGCGAGAAAAACGGAGAAAAAACCCTACAACTAACCTCAATAAATTTTGTTCACATGCGGTTGCCGGATTTGCAACGCATTGTGCGAATCGCCATGGCGCCTTGCACCCGAGAAGCAAAGTTTGAAGAAGTACAACGCCACTATATCAATATATATCAATCTAATTTTTTGTTATGTTATATAAAATTTATCCTCCTTTAACATATGTAAAAATTGAGGTTAAGAAATGTTAAGCTTTTGCAAACGAAACGGCGAAAGACGATTAGGTGATATTTAGTAGAAGGAGGAGGTATTCAACTCTTTCAAATTTAACACAAAGTTTGGCATTATACGACCAACAAGTTGACTTATAGACGTACAGACACAAACATATGAAACTGTTTATTGATATTGTTATGAAACGAATTTGTCTATTTAACTTTGTAGCCTGAAATTACAGAAAGAAAATAGGATTTCCGGTTTGCAAAAAGGAAAATTTCGCCGGCCTTGAAGCGCACCGGAAGCGCGGAAAGAGCGCTCGTGCCAGTCCTACTCCGCATCACACATTAAATGAAGAGCGGAGCGCTCGTTTCACCGCCCAACCTTTATCCGCCCTGGCAGAGAGGGGGGTCGTACGTTCGATTCCCTGTGCTGAACCAACACTTAGGGTTCTAAAATAACTGAGAAATGAAGCGCTACCTCAGGTTTGTCCTGCAAACGGCTAGACCTTTGCGTGGCTCGTAAAATGGCGCTGCCTCCCTTCTCCTGTAGGAGGCATAAAAGTAGTGTCCTCAATAATTACTTTCAACCTGAGTGTATTTTTTCACACGTGTATCTAAACGGTTTATGGAAATACTTGTAATGAGTTTTAGCTATTTGACAAGTATGCCAAGTATGCCTCTCCGAAGAAATATTTTATAGAAATCGGTCGTTGGGTGCCCCTGCAGGCCAAACGTCGAACTTTTCAAGACACGAACTAAACTTTAATTTGGGTCGACCTAACTTAGAGTCAACTTAAGTTTAGATTTTCTTCAATCTTGAGACACGTCGAACCAATCAAATCTGACCAAAAAGCAATTGTAATAAATTGTCTCCCGAAAGAGGCTAAATATACATCATCAAGTTTAGTTTGTCGCATGTGAAGATCAACGTTTGTCCCGGAGACGATTTTCAGACGTTTTATTAGTCTGATGCAGATGGATAGAACGTGTTGGACGTTCCAAACTCATTTAGACTAACTCAACTGAGCCAGACGAAGAACTTTTCTTGAACTTAACTCACTAAGTTTGATTCGTCTCATAAAAAGTTGGAATGCTTTGCCTAGGCCTAAGATACCTAAACAATTTTCCCCCTGAAACTGTGTTAAATAATATCCCGCATAGTTCAGATTTTATGTAGTTGAACGATATCTTTTTCTGTTTTAACAGATGTGATCAAGCTCCTAAATGTCAGCCTAAAATCCGAAGCGGCCAATGATTCCGGGAAAACTCCTTCCACGAACGGTTTAGCTTACATCACAGTTAATGGGGAAAACTACGCACCACAGACTAAGGGTTTCAATGTAGCTGTTTTTGACCATCTTTCAGGTAAATCGATAACCAAAGAATATTGCAACTAGAACACAGGAAAACAGCATTTGAATTACAGAATGATTCCGGGGCCTTAATGGCTGGAATTCTCCCAACGGCGTATCCTTTAGGCCCGTTCTTAAAAGGGCGTAATAATATGCTTAGAAACTGTCGGATACTAGAACACGTTTTCTTTAGCTCAGGCTTGTGAGTCTTTCTGTAGATCATGAGTGGATAGAAAGCTACGGCTGTCACTGTTTGGGAATTATGAGTTCGAATCCATTCAGGGATTCAATATTTTGTCTTAAAATCATTTATTCATTGATTCATTGGACAGCGAAACCTAAGCTAAAGATATCCACTAGGTAATAAAGTAAAACGTGATCAGTTGTCATCACATCTCTCATGCCCTCTCCTATCCAGGTCGGTTTCTAACTTCAGCTGCATTCGATTGTGCTGCCAGCCAGGCTAAATGCGATAAGTTAGGTACCTTTCTAAGTGGTCTGCCCCAGGATACAGTAGTGTTGATTGCAATACAAGAGTCTGGGTTAGTAAGCGGTCGAAGTCTCCCCACTAACCACCTGGAAGAGGTGGGAATACAGTCAAATTCCACTCTTCGCCCCAACTATTCGTTCACTTCCATTGGATACAAAGGAAAAAACGCTGTGGATTGGAAAAAAGAACTGCAGAATAATGACGGTGCAGGTCCCACTACAATTGCAGCACTTATCCCTATCAATTGTTCTTACGTGCCATCAGGTTAGTTTCGACCTTTTTATCTACCTGATTTTATTGTTTTAAGAAAGGATACCAGTTAAAAGCCTTTTTTGTGTTATTTCTGCCCTTTTTCTTCCAAATCTTGCCATGATTTGAGACGTCCATAGTTCTCTCGATCATTACGTTCCAGTGGCCAAGAACTGCTTACTGTGCCTCTGAAGACTTATGGAGACCGCCGGGGTGTTCGGCGCTGCTGTGCCAAGGCTATGGAATATTTTGATCTCTGCCTTCGAAAGTGGCCGTCAATAGCTATTTGAAAAAATGAAAACAAAAAATTTTTTTCCTCACTGTCTATTTATTCTGTTCTTTTTTTAGAGTTTTAGAGTTTTAACTTTTATTTCTTGTACATGTATTAATAATATTTTCAAACTCTATAAATTTATCCTCACTGGTATTTTCAGCTTTTATAAATTAGTACCATTATATTATTGAGATATCATCAGTAAAAAAATGGGTCCATAAGGACGGTAGTTTAATTGGTTACATAGAAGTTTGAAAACTTTTAGATGAGTTTTTGAATGTTTTCCAATAAATAAAAATGGGGACGAGACTGTTTAAAATTTAGAAAAACTCAGTAAAAAACGTTGGATTTTTGGGTTGTTGAAAGTTAAAAAAACGAAGGAAATCAATTACCAAACAAATACCAGATATTCCACCACCTCAACAAGGTGTCTCTGAGCCCATAATAAGAGAACTAACTGGTTTATATGTATACCTTTTCTACCCTAATTTCTTATCTTCTCAAATCACCTCATTTCCCCCCCTAAAACCAGATTATGCCCCTAAACTGATAAAAAGACAACAGACATGTGCCGGAGGTGGTGATGGTAGTGGAACGTGGCATAGAAAGAAGCAGAGAAAAAATACAAATGTAGAAAAGGACCAAGGGGGTTGGCAGGAGGAGAAACAATAAATTTGTGAAAAAAAGAAAACGTGGAGAAGGATAGGGTTGTGTAAAGGAGCTTGTGACTTCAAATTGACGTTGTTTAGTCCTAGTAAAGATTGTTTTCTCTATTGCTCTCAATGATATGTACTATTTAGTTGTCGAGAATCAATGGACCGAAATCCTGAACTACAAACATCTGCAATAAATACAGTGATCGTACAAATGGAAACAAGAGTTAAACAGACCGTACTATATTACTAGGCTAAGCATATCTGGCAACCGACCCTTTGTAAAATCTGTATAGCTAAGGTGAACCATCGTTTACAGTTTTAGTGGTAGCTCCAAAGTTAAATTCCGCTGAGTATAGTTTTTTTTATTTTTGTAGCTTCCACAACTTGCAGTCCATTCAACGTAGCTTCGCAAAAGTACGGTGGCAGCTGTATGAATTCAAGTAGTGGTGACTGTAGATATGCTACTGACGGCAATTCTACTACGGGCTGGGAATCTTCATCAAGCGGCGTTGTCAATTCCTACTTGAAAATTGGATTTCATACCAGCTTTACTGTAAACAAGCTGCGAATTCAACAAAGTGTGACTACGGGGCAGCAGATTCAAGAGATTTTGCTGGAGTTCAGTGACTGCTCACACGAGACGGTTAGTAAGTCCTCTCTATTTTCAGTGGTAACCTTTTGAGTTTTGCTTTTCTCGGATTAAGACAATGTAGACATTTTTCTTGACATTTGAAATATTCAAAGTCTTATTGGAAGGTTAAAATCCGTCTCCATGAATACGTGCTAGCTGTTTGTCGAAATATGAAATTTGCCTGAATGAAATGAGGCAGCGTGAACAAAGTTTTGGTGGCGTAGTTATCCTACAGAGGTTTTGGCTCAACTTTAAATTTTATTTAACAGAATGGTATTTTTATAACAAAATAATTTAGTGAATAGTAAAGAAGGCACTCAATGACTGTCCTTCCCCTTCACGGCTTCCTTAAAAAGATAATTAGAGTTCACCGCTGTACGACCAACCCACGATGGCTCAGAAGCAGTGGTCCAAATGCAAAATAATAATAATAATAATAATAATAATAATAATAATAATAATAATAATATTATTATTAGTAGTAGTAGTAGTAGTAGTATTATTATTAATATTATCATTATAACCAGCTGTCACTGAACATACAGTCACTCAAGTTGAACGCGACGTCCTTGGTCTCCCTGTGGGTATGGTATGGCCTGGATTTACAGATCCTGTAGTGATCCCATCTTCTGAATACGAGGCCTCAATCAAAGTTACTAATCCACTCGTGAGGCGAATTTTTGAGCAAGAGCACCAGCCTCAACCTGCCTCAGAAATTCAAACACTTTAACTGAAAACACAAAAACAAAAAGACGACTGTCTAAGTGAAAAGCTGGAGCAAGTGAAGAACTCCCTGCCGACAAAAGCTAAGCGTGCTGCTGAGTTAGCTACAGAGAAGGGATCATCAAATTGGCTGACCGTGATTCCCCTCAAAGAGCTGGATTATTATCTGAATGAGAAGGAATTTAGAGATGCAATCAAGTTACGGTACAACTGGGAAATAACGGACACGCAAATGCTCTGCGCATGCGGTGTTCAATTTAGCGTGGATCACGAAATGGTGTGTCAGTGTGGCGGGCTCATTATCCAGCGCCTTTATGAACTGCGCGACTTAGAAGCAGAGATGCTAAGGATGGCCGGTCCTTCAGGAGGTCACTGGGAAGACATTAAATCATGGCGCGAACAAGTCCCCTGATGCCCGTTTGGATATTCATGTTCGAGGTTTTTGGGAGAGACAGAGATCTGCATTCTTCTACGTTCGGGTGTGTCACCCTCTCTTACAGAGACTTCACTCCTAAGCAGATCTACCTGAATCATGAGAACGAGAAGAAGAGGCAGTATGCAGAAAGAGTAATGGATATCAAACAAGAACGTTCACTTCCCTAGTTTTCACGACCACTAGTGGAATGGCGGATGAGTGTGTTAGGTAACACAGAAGACTTGCGGAGCTGATCGCAAATAAGAAGGGAGAAAGATACTCAAACGGAATTTTCTGGAAAAGAGCTAAAGTGTCTTTCGCCATCGTACGCTTTGCGATACTATGCTTGAGAGGCTCAAGATCCAGAAGAAGACACTGGGCTAGACTTTGTTGACTCAGACCTACAGATGCATAATATTAGAGCCTGCCCGAACTGATCTTTTTCTAAAGAACTTTTTAAAGAATTAGGAATTTAGGAATACGAGATTTTATTCTTTTAACTTGTTTCCTTTTTAATATCAGAGACGGATAATTCTCTTTTGTTAAATGACTTAATTGAAAAACATTGGACTGTTTGCAAGAGTTATTGACCGCATAAGAGCCGCAAGGAATGTATTTGCGAAATTGTCATTGACACAGCGATTGTTATTTTTAGGATTTATATAATTCTTAATGTTATATAGTGCTTAATTCTTACTTCAAATGTTTCTGTAAATTGTGTACATGTTTTGTTAAAGTTAAATAAAATTATTATTATTATTATTATCATTATTAATACAAACAAACAAACACAAAGACATTCCTTGGTGGTTTACGGGCGGTAAAACATCATTGATTCCGAAGCCAGGCCAATTTTCCAGCGAAAATCAGCGCCTGATTAAATACCCTCTACAAGTGGTTTACTTCGTGCCTGTTAAAACCAGTGAATTGTCACCTCGAGAAGTATGGCTTCATGGAACGAAAGCAGCGGGGTGCGAGAGAGAAATGCAGTGGAACTTTTGACAACCTCCTTATTGACCGAATGGTGTGTCAAGACAGTCAGTGGGGGAAGCGGAATCTCAGTATGGCCTTGGTCGATGTTAGAAAAGCCTTTGGCATGGTAGATGACAGATGGTTAGGGGAGATGTTTGAGCTTCATCGACTCCCCTCGGTGGTTAGACGTAGCAATACGGCAATTGAGTAATAGGTGGAACACTAGAATCGTGGTTAAGACGAAGCAAGGGAAGCGTCAGAAAGTATAACTTTCACGGAGGTGATGCGTTTTGTCCAAGGCCCTTCACCGTATGCCTAAATCATACAGCTTAGAATCTCAAAGAAACGGAAGGGTACAAGTTGCACAACCCGATTAGTCTGAAGATAACAGATCTATTGGACATCGATGATTTGAAGGTATTTGCAGCGTCGGAAAGTAAGCTACGGAGAGTTCTAAGATCTGTTAAGGATGACATGAAATGTGTGGATGTAAAGTGGAACGAGAAGAAGTGCGCGGTTACACATGTGAACAGAGGGTGTTTGATTCAAGGGCGGAGAACTTGGAGATTGACAATGTTGCAATTAGTAGTTTGGAAGAAGGTTGCTCTTACACGTTTCTGGGAGTATTGAAAAATGTGAAACAAGAAGACAGAATTGTTCTTCAAAATGCAGGGAAGGTGTACTTGCGAAGGTTATCTATTATCTGGTCTATCCCGCTGACAGACTACCACAGAGTGGCTGCGTCGAAACAGTATGCTTTACCAGTTTTAACGTATTTCATGTGGACCCAGACATGGCCACTTGCCGACTTAAAGCAATTGGATAGAAAAGCGCGTAAAGTTATCTTGGAGAATAATGGGAATCACACCCCTGGGATCGATAGCACAACTCTACAATTCAAGAAAGAACGGTGGAAGAGGTCTTAGATCATGTGTTGAGCGAAGTATAAAATTACTAAGATCAAAGCGGTTGTAAAATTATTTGAGAACTCAGATACGATCATGAGCGCCGTGAGGAAGTTTGAAGAGAAGGCAGTGCAGACCGGGTATCACTCGATCATCAAAGATGCTGAAAAGTGTGCCTCAGAGCTACACTTAACTCTGACGTTAATTTTACAGCATCCTAATCCAAGGGCTACCACCGAGGATGGTGACGAAATAGAAGGAAAAAAGCTTAAAAGACCACTCTTGCCAAAGCACAATAGAAAACTTTTTGTAACACACTGGGAGAAGAGAAATGCAAGGCAAACTGACCTAAAAATAGATGAGAGGACTCGGCCCTTGATAATAGCAGCAGCCACGAAGGAATTGTACCAACAGATGTTTCCAACCAAATTATACCACCAAAGGCAAACTGGAAAAGGGAGTGGAACTTCACATTCATGTGCCGAATGTGTGATATAAATTTCACTAAAATGTTCCGCACGTGTTGGCGGGGTGTGGGACACTCGTTCAGACTAAGTATCTCGCGAGGCATAACGCAGCTCTTAAAATCCTCTTTGAGTTGCTGAAGAACCTTGAACTTATTTCAGAAGTGCTTCCATGGTATTAAAAGACCCAACCCAAACCGTCGTATGAGACGTGGGAGTGCGCGAGCATTATGGGATGTACCGGTTTATGCAGACAGCATTGAGGTAAGGACCCGCAAAATCGACACCAGAATAGTCGACAAAGAGCAGAAACGAGTGTTTGCCATTAAAATGAGCTGTCCTATTTGGTTTGAGTACCGCGAAGTGAAAGAGATGGAGAAGACACAGAAATATTGTCTACTAATGTGGGAATTGAGAGAGAAAAATCCTGGCTAGCAAGTAAAACAGAATAACATCATTATCGATGTTCATGGAGGATATTCAGCTGATCTGAGTCAAACAGTAAATTAACTTGTTCCAAAGATGAGTGCCACCATCTTACAAAGAATGCAGAGATCAGTCATATCGAGTACATTAAACATTGCTCACAGGTTCAAATTCTTGCTCAAGAGGATTCTTGCTAAAGTGCTCTGTTTTAGAAAAAAATTTCATTGAAACTTTTATTATGATTTTGCCATAAATTTTAAGCTAAATAGAATGGTGGACAAAATTTTAGGACAAACGGAAACATGCTTATTTTTTATTTGACGTTTTAATATTTTACAAGAGCCGGCTATGATATTCTTAATATTTCAGTATTTAAAACATTAGAAAGACTTCATGGCGCGGTGGTTGGTAACGGTCACACGCCCAACTTCTGTGTTTTTTACTAGTGCTGGGCATACAGACGTGTAACACTACCATAATAATATTAATAATTATAATATTAATAATAATAATAATGATCATAATAATAATAATAATAATAATTAGAAGAAAAGATGGAGGTAGCGGCCTGATTGATGTAGAAACAGCATTCAAAACAGCAACAATAGGGCTTGATCACTATCTGAAGCACAAGGAAGGGCAATATCCAAAGCAGGTGCTTGAACATGAAAGATCTAAAGCCAAAAATTCAACACCCAAAAAATGCTACTAAATTCAAAAGGGAAGTAACAATGCCAGAGATTAAGAACAGAGAAGATAAATCTGCCTCTGAAAATGCTAAAGCCCTGAAACACGTGTTTAAGTCCAAGATGAAGTCAATGAGAGAAGAAAAGTGGAAAAACAAAGCATTGCATGGCCAGTATCCAAAGATCCTAGAGAAGCCTCATGTAGACACAGTTACCACCACTAAATGGTTGTCAAGTAATTTGACAGGAGAAACAGAGGGACTACTTGTAACAGCTCAAGACCAGGCAATAAACACCAGAAACTTCCAGAAAGTAATATGTGGCCAGCAAGTGGAGAGCAAATGCAGAATGTGTTCGCAACACAACGAGACAGTGGACCATATTGTATCTGGATGTAAGGTATTAGCCAAAACAGAGTACATCTCGCCTCATGTAGACACAGTCACTACCAACAAATGGTTGTCAAGTAATTTTAAAGGAGAAACAGAGGGACTACTTGTTGCAGCTCAAGACCAGGCAATAAACACCAGAAACTACCAGAAAGTAATATGTGGCCAGCAAGTGGAGAGCAAATGCAGATTGTGTTCGCAACATGAAGAGACAGTGGACCATATTGTATCTGGATGTGAGGTATTAGCCAAAACAGAGTACATCTCCAGGCACAATAATGCTGCAGCATATCTCCATTGGAGCATATGTAAAGATCATGATATAGAGATTGCAGACAAATGGTACGAACACGAACCAGAGACCGTGATACACAATAAAGATAACAACATCACCATCATGTGGGACATGCCAGTCAATACTGATAGAACTATAACAGCGAACAGACCAGATATCATCGTTAAAGATTCAGTGAATTCCACCTGCAAACTTATTGATATGACTGTTCCATCAGATAGAAACATCGCACTGAAGGAAACTGAAAAAAAATGCAAGTACAAAGACCTAGAACTAGAAATACAGAGAATGTGGCATATGAAAACCGTAGTGATCCCTGTGGTTGTTGGTGCGCTTGGTACAGTGAAGAAGGGTATGGTAGAAAACATCAAGAAAGTATCAGAGAGAGCTAGTATGACAGAGATTCAAAAGATCTGCATGCTGGGATCTGCACGAATCCTTAGAAAGGTGCTCAGTGTATGAACAGAATGATTGACTTGAGTGACTGACGCTCTAGGTGCATGGTTTGCGCCCGGCTGATGCGCAAAAAGAACACCAGCAAAAACTGTGATAATAGAGACAATAATAATAATAATAATAATAATAATAATAATAATAATAATAATAATAATAATAATAATAATAATAAGAAGAAGAAGAAGAAAAGATGGAAGTAGGGGCCTGATTGATGTAGAAACAGCATTCAAAACAGCAACAATAGGGCTTGATCACTATTTGAAGCACAAAGAAGGGCAATATCCAAAGCAGGTGCTTGAACATGAAAGATCTAAAGCTAAAAATTCAATACCCAAGAATGCTACTAAATTCAAAAGGGAAGTAACAATGCCAGAGATTAAGAACAGAGAAGATAAATCTGCCTCTGAAAATGCTAAAGCCCTGAAAAAAAAAGCAAGTACAAAGACCTAGAACTAGAAATACAGAGAATGTGGCATATGAAAACCGTAGTGATCCCTGTGGTTGTTGGTGCGCTTGGTACAGTGAAAAAGGGTATGGTAGAAAACATCAAGAAAGTATCAGAGAGAGCTACTATGACAGAGATTCAAAAGATTAGCATGCTGGGATCTGCACGAATCTTCAGAAAGGTGCTCAGGGTATGAACAGAATGATTGACTTGAGTGACTGACGAACTAGGTGCATGGTTTGCGCCCGGCTGATGCACAAAAAGAACACCAGCAAAGACTGTGATAAAAAAGATAATAATAATAATAATAATAATAATAATAATAATAATAGCAACAATAATAATAATAAGACAAAAAAAAGACTTCATAAAGCCTCATGACTATGCTAACCTGAGATCAGGCACAATTTGAGCGGTTCTCATACATTTTCTCTAACGGCTACCGCTAAAAATGGGCTCTCTTTTCGTTTCGCCATGCCCGCCGGAATGTTATTTACAAAGCGAAACGAAAATAGAGCCTGATCTCAGGTTATGACAATGCTTCCTTTCTGTTAAGAGCCTGAATGGAACAAGAGAACAACAATGCCTGTGATTTTCACTCTTAACACTAAGTATTTAGAGTAAACTCGGACGTCATCTTTGGTGACAGTAGCTACCGCTATCAGTCCATTTAATTTACGGGCTTTGGGTCACCTTCCAACGCACTATCGATATGTAACGTATGTGGTATATGTGAAGTGAAAACAGAGGTGGAACTATTAACCACGTTTTGGTCAAAACTAGCGTCATTTTGATACTTTTATTGTGTTTTGCAGTTTACACTAAAGGCAAACAGTTCCGATTTTGAAGAGATAAGTTTTCTATCTCGCACGGCAAAATGGATAAAGTTTACAGTCAAGAAATTATATGGGGCTAGCGGCGGAGTTGGAATCCAAGAAATAGAGGTTTACAATGAATATTGTAATCAACGTAAGTGATTTTTAAAACTGAACAGATAAACACAAAAGGAGCCAAGAAACGATTCTGTTAATTGGTAAAGATATCCTCCATGTTTGAGGGGAAAGATACGTTGTATATAACTTCATTAAAATTTTGATCCATTGTTGGACCTTGTTGGTGTTCGGCTATGTTTGTGAAATGTGTGCTTGCTAGAGCTCTGAGAAACTTTGCCACGAATTAGCAGTTTGACCATCTTTGAATGTTAAAAGATCAATACCTTTGAAGAAAGTAATACACAGCTTGATTTTGACTACAGAAAGAAGATGATGTGAACTGCGGGAATTCAGAGCTAAATGAATTCATCTTCATTCCAAGTTTCATTCGTTTCGCTGGTGAAGATGAACTCAAAAAATTGGCCTGCTTCCAATGTATGGCTCTTCATAGATCACTTAATTTGGTAGAGCACTGCAGTGCTAATGCAGAGGCCATTAGTTCGCTTCCCGTTCAAAAGCCCAAAACTTTTTTCGGACTTAAAATTTCTTAAATTGCAATTACAACTGCGGTGGTCATATCTTTATTTAGATTTTTACATTGACTGTCGATGTATGCGAGTTTTACTTGAAGGTTAGTGTGCTATGGAGTGCAACTAACAGTCTCTATATTGTGGTTTTACTCTAAGTTCTTGTCAGAATCCCTTTTGCATTTTCTATAAGTAAACAACTTATAAATTCATATCAGCCTTAGTTCCTTTTTTCATCTATTAGGGCAGCGTGGTCGAGCGCTGTACTTGTAACCCGGACGTCTCGCCCTGACCCCTAGCTGAATTTGTCGTCGGTAGTCCCAAGTTTAAATTCTCCGCTAAGTTTGTAAAATCGCCTCCCGCCAGTTAGGATTGTTAACCACATTTTTTCCATTTGAATTATTTCTGTCTGAAGAGCCCCATAAGGGAAGAGGATAATAAAGTATTAATGACACAATCCCTTACTAATCAGGGCGCAGGGATATCTATTATCAACTGAGTGTTTACACTAAAGTGAATTTGAATTTGTTTGTTTTTAGAGTCACTTTGTGACGCTGTCCTCCTAAACAGCAACAACCAATCGTCTCATTACCGTCTACACAACCGAAAGTTTCAATTCATGATTGACGCCCAGAGAAAAGTTACCGTTCTGTTAACAAGTGGATCGCTTGACACTAGCTCGCGGTATGAAATAATCATTGGGTCTGCGGAGGATAACCGGCTCAAACTAAAACGTATCAAAGGCAACATTACTGCTGATTTGTTGGTGAAGAACGTTACTGGGCCATTAAAGGAAAACGAGATGCGGTCATTCTGGATTGAAGTAGAAACAGACAGAGTAGTGTTTGGTTCTGGAGAAGTGGTATGTCTGACAGACTATATGATTAGTTTCTTGCAAGAGAGAAACTACTTGGTCGATATTTCTTATTTGAGATACGGCTGTTGCGACGCGTTCCACGCACGACCCTCGCCCATACCCTCTTGTATGATACGCCTTTGAGTCTTTGAGCGTGTCATAGCCCCCTCAACCTCTGTCATTTTCTTGTCAAAGATCATCGTTATCGTCATCCTCATTTTCGAAACGCTTAGTAGACTATGGCATAACATAAAAGTTCAGTGGTTTAAGGTTTTCTTCATATTGGGGCTAAGTTCAGCAGCTGAACCTCTTTTAGGCGGCCACCTTGGAAGTAACGATAAGTAGGCGCTTAAGTATAGGATTCACGGTAGTTGATGTTTTCTCTTATCATGTAGCACGTATTTATACCCAAGTAGACTAGACAACTATACTTTCCAGAATCATATATTGATTCACTGTCTCAAATATTATCGTTTTTTTCAACAGCTTTACCTGTTTTGGAGAGATAGTGATCCAATTTACGTGAAATACGTGTTCTTCTCTACGACCACATCAACGGCAAATATTCATGTGTGTGGACGTACAGGTAAAGAACTCATTTTTAATATCGCTGGTCACGTTCTTATACGTTTTAAAAATTTCCAGTTTATCAGGGTAACTGATAATGATGATTTTCTGTCGTACAATTCAGGAAAAGGTTGCACAGTTTATATTTGGCGGGTGGGTGGATTTGGCGTATTTTATGACGGAAATTTGTTTTCCTCAACATCGCTTTTGCTCATAACTGGAGGGAAATTTATGTGAGTAATTTTCCGAAGACATGTGATTAAGTATTGGACCACAAATTTCAAAAACAACGGAATTAAAATTCTAATTTAATTCATATGATAGCTGAAGAATATAGACTATGTTTGAAAGCGCATGTCCAGGCTTGTCTTGTACACTATTTCGATAAATTGGTATTTTATAGCAACTCTCAGATAAGTATCATTTGATATAAAGCATGTAAAGAAGATCTTATTATGGAAAGGTCAATTCTTTTGGAATTGGCAATTGGGGAAATTCTAATTCTTTGATCCAAAGGGACTTATAAATTGACGTAGGCTGCGAAATCAGCCGACATTTCGGGACTCCACCAACGGTTTCTCCGGGAAAAGATGTTCAAGGAACGACAACAGAAATTCCATACTGATGACGTGTCACACCCTGATAGGGGTAGTGCTTGTGATTGGTTGAAAATTTGCTCTAACCAATCAAAAGCACTACCCAGAACTGGGTAGTAACACCTCATCAGTATGAAATTTTTGCGCTCGTTCCTCAGAGATCACTTCGCCGAAAAGCCGTCAGGGACGTTGCTAAATGTCGGCTGTTTTCTCAGTTTAAAATTGAGTCGGAGTGGGAGGGGAGGGGAGGGGGACTGTTTTCGCAATTTTTGCATAGCATTCTCATTGCATGCTTTTAACAGATCAATGTTATAAGGATGCGACTCACTACTGGCCACTGGACAAGCCTGTTTTCGTAAAGGACATAAACAACGGCAAGATCGGAAAGATTCACGGTCCATGGATCACAGAGCGCGCAGCCGCTAAAGCTGACTTTTCACCTCTGGCGCTCTCCATCGACAACTCCGCTTCCTGGGTAGACCTTGGCGACCTTTCAGACAGCTGCTTAAGCATTCCTTCCAAGTGTCCCAATGGATTTTCTTTAAGCTTCAAAGCCAGTATTTCTGGAACTGGAACCGGCTATTTGCTATCCCTTGGCACAGTAAGCATCTTTTATGTCGACGAAACCATGTATTTTACTGTTAAGGACACACACAAGGAGTGGGAGGTTAAAGGAGCCTTTAAGAGGAACACCTGGCAGACATTTTCCATTGGGTGGAGCTACGCAAATGGCCTGACAGCTGTTATAGTCGGTAATGCAGCTACTGTGTTGTATGATTTCAGTGGCAAGACTGTCACGCCTTCAGCTGTGACAAACGGTTCTTTTACGATTGGTCGACCTAAATATTTCAGTGGTGCAATCAGAGATGTTGCAATTTGGGAACTGGAAATAAGTGAGGAAAGGATGAGAACACTTCATGTATGCAATGGTGAGTCCACTTTTTATAACTTGTTTCAATAGGTTTGTGCGGATCAACACTCATTGCAACATTATGATTGTCAATAATAAAAAAATAACGAAACATGCAAAACAAGTTAACATCATTTTGCCGGAGGTAGCCTGGGATTTTGGGGCTTCGTGGTTGGGAAAAGGGGGGACAATTCGCGATCAAAGCGAGCCGATCAGACCGAGATATGTTATGAACAGTTCACACTTGTTTAACCTTTGTCATGACGATGTCGTATAGTTTCCTTATTTTTTTCTGGAAACGAAGAAGGCGTTTGAAAAGCTCACGTATTAGAAGAAGCACCGTATGATTATTTCAATGTGTTCATTTAAGATCAAGAAATGCTGTGCCTGTTTATTCCCAACATAGTCAAAAATAATGAGGTCAAAGGCCATTACTGATTTCCAAAAAGCCTCACTGTTAAAGCGAGGCTAAGTGCAAAAACCTGTCTTGTTAAAATGTGAATTATAATAGAATTACTTTTGTAACAATTGGTTCGCCTACAGCCTCGCTTTGAAACAGAGGCTTGGGACGTGAGATAAAAGGCCTAGCTAAGTGCACTTTTCTTATGAGCTGATTAGCGGTCGCTCTTATCTATGATGTTCACAGATCCAGACTCCTGCCCCGTGGGCTGGGAATATTTCGATGGTTCCTGTTACAAGGTGTCGCCTTCAAACCTCTCAGCTTCCGCAGCTCGTGAAGCATGCGTTAGTGAAACAGCTGATCTGGTGAAGATTACATCAGAACAAGAAAATGCTTTTGTTCGTAGCTTGCTAAAAGGGGATTTTTGGATTGGACTTGAACGAGAGCGAAACGATGAATTATATTACTGGAGAGACGGAATGAAAGTCTCTTATGAAAAATGGAATAACGGATCATCAAGTGGTGATTGTGTTGTTATGGAATCGAGTGGAAATTGGAGCAAAACTTCATGCTCATCGTACACATCGAGATACGTTTGTGAACAAGGTAATGTTTTAAGTTCACGATAAATTTTCAAACGGCGGTTTTTTCGCTGTTGATTAAAATCTCTCTTTTTTATGCCTTGTGCCAAGAATTTCTTTTAAACTTTTACTACATTTGAGGACTTTTTACCCGTCAACAGTGCCTCATTATAAACGCAGAGCAGCTAGTGTTTTGAGTGTCTAATATAATGATATTGCTTTCAATGCGGCACAGCAAATTCCTTGGAAAATCATTACAACTCACTGTAGGGACCTTAAGATCCAAAGACGAGGACGGCAGTGAAAACGTCGCTGAAAAAGTGAATTCGCGTTCTTTTAATCTTCATCGCGATTACGCAGTCACTAGCTTTGTCAAATGTAGGTAACTACTCCTGAAGTTGAATTCCGAAGAACCATATCCAAGTTCAGAAAGAGAGACGGAATTTCGCTGTCGCTTGTGTACTTCCTCTATAAAACGTGAAATCAGGCATTTTCAAGTCGTAGTCGTGCAGTGACGGCAAAGAAATGTACAAAGTCAAAAAGAGTAATGCACGTGCAAAGTTCTTGTTTTGCTTATTCAACCTGTTGCTTTTATGACTTTCTCGTTGCCGTCCTCGTCACGGAAGTAAACTAACGGCCAACAATTATTTAGTTTTGCGTTTGCGTTCCATAGTCGCTCAAAGTGATTTCAGAAATTGTTGATCTTAGTCTCTCAGTTTATCATTATTAATGCCTGAATGTTTATCCTTCTTCACTACAGTTCCTTACCAGTACTTGGGTTGCTACAAGGACAGTGACACATCGCCAGCTTTTGTTTTTAACCCCGGTGGATACAAGCCAAGCAGCATGACCCCAGGTCTCTGCATGCACGAATGCGGCACTTGGTACTATACTTATGCAGCAGTAAAGGGGGGAATGCTGTGCTTGTGTTCTAACTCCACTTCCCCAGCGGCTGAAGGTGCCGCTGACATGTGCTTTTGGCCCTGTTTTGGTTCCGGAAATCTTAAATGCGGAGGAAAAAGTCACATTTCTGTTTTCAACTCAGTTACGGTGTGGCCTCGGAGGCTGGATATGTCCTTGGATTCCTCTGTGTACACCTTCAAGGCTTTTAACATAACATTGACGCCGACGTTACCAGCCAATGAAACCGTTGAGTCCTACACGATTAACATCGGGGATGGTACAACTCATTACACCACGTATTCCCCTGCAACCATAGCAATTCTGCATCCCGGAAGTTACTACATCAAAGGAACAGCAATCGTAAAACATAGTAAAACAGGTTATCGATCAACAATTGAATCTCCTGTGAAGACTAGGAGAGTAGTTTCTGAATTGACAGGTCTTAATATTTCTTGCCAATCCTGTGCTCCTGTGAACGTTTCCGCCGGTTGTTCTGTGATGTTCCGTTATGGTTCTAACGTGAATTATTCAGTGCAATTTGGGGACGGAAAAGGTCCAGTCAGTGGTTCACTTCCTGGTAAGTGTTAACACCCAAACATTACTACAACTTTGCTGCACTAACTTCTGTTAACAGAGACCTTTAGATTCTAAGACGAGGACGAGATTTTCTCAGTACGAAGTGTTGCGCATACGTAAACCAGCATCATTTTAGCGGGAAAACGGGATAGCAGTCGTTACCTAACTACGAGTTTCTGCGAGTATGTCGAAGTGGTAGAAAAAAGTTGTCAAATGTTCGAGGTTTTATTTTCCTGCGATCTAGAGAGGGCGTAACCTTGAGCCATAACGGTGCTAACTTTCTTGGTGAAAAATAGTCCTGAAGTCTTTTTTTTTGACAATACGCGAAAAAAAATTAAATCAAATTTCGTACTCGTAGTCGTTCTTGTCCTCGAACACTAAGGTCTCTGAAAGAGCAAATTATGTTGATTCGAATCTTTTGATTGATACGCCAGAAAGTGTATCGTGGTAGGGGGATTTAAATGGGGTCAAAGTCTTCTGCGTCTTATACATTGCATTCCAGACTCCGCCCTTTTTCCGTTTCTTATAGCCATTTTTTGATTGCGACATAGTAAGCATTCTGATGCAATTTCCCTTTGTTTATCCCACTATCCATGCTTTTAAAACTCCTACCTCTCGCCCTTTCCTTTCCCACCTCTTGTATCCCTCTCACACACTATTCTCCCAGGCTCCTACTTCCTGTCCTTCCCACTATGATATTAAATTAGTATAACTATATTTCGGACATGCAAAGATAAGGATTCTGGGGATAGAGCTAGCCTAAACTTCAAAGTGAGAACCTATCAGCACTTGTTCATATTATCTTGTTCACAGTCTTAATCCACCACTGTGATTTCACGACGAATTTCAGGTCAAAAAAATATAACATTTAGTCGCCTACTGGGTGCAAATATATTTTCAGGCGCAAATTAAGCCGGGCATAGCCTTAACCAGTCCTAGATGAAATTAGTCTTAAAACGGGGTCATATGATTTTCCTTCATGCACTACTGCTGAATTTGCTGATTATGCAATTAATGGACCTGTTTTTCTATCCACAGATGCAGCAGTACTGACTGTGGGCACACCAGCTGGGGAAGCACACTCGCCAATTACATCTGACGGGTTATATCTGATGGCGGGTACGGAAGTCAAAAGTAAAGGAGAAGCTGTTGCCCTGGAAATGGATGTTGAGACAGGAGGGTCTTTAGAAATCATGGTACTCTTCCAATAGACTAATGATAAAGTGTTTTGAAAATAGAACTCATTGTTCATCTTTACTTTACAAAACACCACACTGCTGGTTGATGTAAGTAACCAATAATAATGAAAAAGCCA